GATGGAGGGGGGGGGGGGGGGGGGGGTGCCGAAATAAAGTGGTCGGAGCTCTAGACACCCTGTGCAAGAGAATACTTATCCCAGTGCGACCCTACCTAGGAGTTGGAACCCCCAGGAAAGCAGCATTAGTAGTACCAGTAACGCTAAGCTAAAGCTAAGCTAAAGCTAAGCTAAAGCTAAGCTAAAGCTAAGCCACAGCTAAGTTAAAGCTAAGCCACAGCTAAGCTAAAGCTAAGCTAAAGCTAAGCTAAAGCTAAGCTAAAGCTAAGCTAAATCTAAGCTAAAGCTAAGCTAAAGCTGAGCTAAAGCTAAGCTAAAGCTGAGCAACAGCTAAGCTAAAGCTAAGCTAAAGCTAAGCTAAAGCTAAACTCAAGCTAAGCTAAAGCTAAGCTAAAGCTAAGCTAAAGCTAAGCTAAACGCTAAGCTAAACGCTAAGCGAAACGCTAAGCTAAAGCTAAGCTACAGCTAAGCTAAAGCTAAGCTAAAGCTAAGCTAAAGCTGAGCTAAAGCTAAGCTAAACGCTAAGCTAAACGCTAAGCGAAACGCTAAGCTAAAGCTAAGCTACAGCTAAGCTAAAGCTAAGCTAAAGCTAAGCTAAAGCTAAAGCTAAAGCTAAAGCTAAAGCTAAAGCTCCCAGGGGACTGGGGGGAACCGCTCCCAGGGGACTGGGGGAACCGCCCAGGGCGTGTTCCACTGCCCGGCCCCTGTAAGCTAAGAGAGTAAGAACCCTTCTAGGCAGAGCCTAGGTAGGGAACTACTTTCAACGACCGATGGGCCCGTGTAGCCGAAGCCAGTCAGGCCCCCAAGCAACAACTGCCAGGCCAGTCCCAGCAGGTCGAACACTGCTCTGCCTGCTACGCCTCCCAAGGCCCAGGAGGGAGGGAAGGATGACAAGAAGAAGGGAAGGATCGGCAAGAGGGGAGGAGGAGGAGGGGAGGATTGGGGGGGGGGGATTGGGGGGGAGACGAGGAGGAGGGGAGGATTGGGGGGGAGGAGGAAGGGGGAGGATTTGGGGGGATGGGGGAGGATTGGGGGGAGGATTGGGGAGGAGGAGGGGGGGGAGGATTGGGGAGGAGGAGGAGGCGAGGATTGGGGGGAGGGGTATAGCGGAGGAGATTCGGGAGGGCGGCCTGCCATCGCCAGAGCGTCCTCTCTTTGTGCACTGCTTGCCTCTCGTGCGAGCTTTCTTGGTGTTGTTTGTGTTTTCTGTGTGCTTCTCGTTTTTCCCCAACCAAGTTGTGTTGTTGGGCCCTCGTTTTGAAGAGACGGTCCCCGCGTTCCTCCTTCATCCTGTCTCCTCCCTTCCTGTTGTCATCATCATCATCATCATCAGCATCATCATCATCATCATCATCATCATCATCATCATCACCATCATCATCATCATCATCATCATCATCATCATCATCATCATCATCACCAGCATCATCATCATCATCATCATCATCATCATCATCGTCAGCATTTTCATCATCATCATCAACAACAACATCAGCATCATCACCCCCCAGTACTGCGTCTCGTGCCCCCACGGGGAGCGCCACCGAAGGTCTCCGTGGCGCAGTCCGCATGCGTCTCCCTCACCCAGAACAGCGCTTCGTGGCCCCATAGGGGCTCCACCGAAGGTCCCCGTGGCGCAGTCCGCATGCGTCTCCCTCACCCAGTACAGCGCTTCGTGGCCCCATAGGGAGCTCCACCGAATGTCCCCGTGGCGCAATCCGCATGCGTCTCACTCACCCAGCACAGCGCTTCGTGGCCTCATAGGGAGCTCCACCGAAGGTCCCCGTGGCGCAGTCCGCGCTTCGTGGCCCCATAAGGAGCTCCACCGAAGGTCTCCGTGGCGCAGTCCGCATGCGTTTCCCCCACCCAGTACAGCGCTTCGTGGCCCCATAGGGAGCTCCACCGAAGGTCCCCGTGGCGCAGTCCGCGCTTCGTGGCCCCGTAGGGAGCTCCACCGAAGGTCTCCGTGGCGAAGTCCGCATGCTTTTCCCCCACCCAGTACAGCATTTCGTGGCCCCATATGGAGCCCCACCGAAGGTCCCCGCGGCGCTGTCCGCATGCGTCTCACTCACCCAGCACAGCGCTTCGTGGCCCCATAGGGCGTTCCACCGAAGGCCCCCGTGGCGCAGTCCGCATGCAGTTCCCCCACCTAGTAAAGCGCGTCGTGGCCCCATAGGGAGCTCCACCGAAGGTCCCCGTGGCGCAGTCCGCATGCGCCACCCCCACCGAGTACACCTCCGTCGGACGCCGTCGGAGTTCCGCGCCTCGCTCGCCCGTCGTCGCTCTGCCCAGCGGCAAGAGCCTGGCAAGCTATCGGCCAGCCAGCTAGCTCTCTTTGCTCCGCGCAGCGGACGACCCGCGCGCGTCGATGGGACACCTCCGGGGCGACCTGCGCGCGTCGCGGGGACTCCGCGCTGCGCTGCGCCCGCAGCCTTGGACTTTTGAGTGCGCGGGCAAAGAGGGAGCAACTGAAAGGGGAGGAAGCGGGCGCGATCCTCGCGGGGGGGCGCGCCGACATGGGCGTCGCGGCGCGCGGGCGATGCCGTCGGGGAGCCCCGGGAAAGCTCCTTGCGGCGGTCACGCCCAGCGTCACGAGTACTCAGAGGGAGTCATTCTCAAACGATTGACATTCATATACAAGTACACCATGCTTTGTCAGACTCGCATTCATGCACGTAGACTCGCTCGCACGCAGATTCATTCACAATCAGACGCACTCGCGCTCAGATTCACCCGCGCCCAGCCCCCCTACGTACTCAGATCAATCGTGTTCGCTCGCGTTGTGCACCACGCCACTCATTTCGGCACACCCCTAGCACGGTTCGTTGCCTCATAGGGATCACCTGCGAAAAAGTGAATAACAATTGCTGCACTCACACCTGCACGTGGTTGGGTCCTTCGTCAGGCTAATTTGTTGTTGTGTGTTTATGTATTCCTGGAGAAAGAAAGCTCGCGCGAGCTCTTTCCCTCAAGATGGTCCAGGATGCTCCAGGGTGGCCCAGATTTTCTGGCGCTGGCCGCGCCGAGAAACATGCGCACGCCCGGACGAGGCCGAGAAGGTGACGGGGGGGAGGGGGAGGGATCCCACTCCCGCTCGGCTCCATTCTCGTCCTTGCCCTCCCCCGCCCCCATCGCCCTTCCTGGGGCGGAGTCGCTCAGCTCGCCCCCCCCCCCTCCTGGGCTGGAGTCGCCCCGCCTCCTGCCCCCTCCTGTCGCAGCTGCAAGAGAGAGCGGCACTGCTCTGCGACGCTTGCCCTGATTAGGGGGGGGGGGGGGGGGGCCGGCTTGCACGGGCCACTCCGCCCGCGACCGGCGCGCTGACGGCCCCGACCGCACTGCCGCAGCCGCGGCAGCTTCGCCGCCGCAGGCGGCCGTGGCTCGGCCGCGCGACGGGTGGAGGGCGGGCAGCACGGGTGGTGCTGCTGGAGGGATGGGCAATTTCAGTCTTGCCCTCGTGGTGCACGCCTGCCTGCTCACCCCGCCGCTCGCGGGGGCGCTTGCCTCAATTGGCGCCCTGATCGGCAGGGGGTCGATCCTCGGGGCCGCCGGCCCTGGCTCCCCCAGGTCCCTGCCCCACCCCGACTCGGGGTTCGGATATGGCCAGACATCTCAGGGGCGGAGCTTGCGCCTGCCCGGAAAGCGCCCACCCCAGCAGCTCCAGCGCGGGTTTGGCTTCTGGGTTCAAGACGGGCCAGGCCACCAGCGGGTGCAATGGCGTCGGATGGCAGGCTCGTCGCAGGCCCCCGTGCGAGCGCGAGGCGGATGATGGGGGGTTGGGCGGGCAAGGGGAGGGGGAAGCGGGTTGTGCGACGGGGGCGCGGAGAGGGCAAGACAGCGCTGCTGAAATACTCCCCCTGGCCCCCGGCCCTCCTAGCATATGGGCCCTCCCACCCGCAGGGCGTTTGCCAACCTCAGAGAACCGCGGCCAGCCTGAGCGATGGGAACATGCTAGCACATCGCAACAGGCACACTGACGAACGGATCCTCATCCCACAAGGCCATAACCCAGGCGCGCGGGTCGGGTCGGGCGGGCCCTGACGGTCGGGCCGGACTGGCGGGCCCAAGAGGCGGGCCGGGTCGAGTCAGGCGGGGCCCATCGCGCATGACACTGGCGCACAAGGCCGTGTCGTGAGGGACGTCGCGTCACACCGCTGGCCTTTTGCAAAGTGAACTGGGCCAACTGGTGGCCCTGCGGTGCATGAGCTCATGCATGGCGCGCTGCTTGCAACATAGCAAGAGGTGGGCGAATTCCCCACGCGGTGCAACCTCATCAGGACGGCTGAAGGCAGCGAGACGTCGAGCAAGTTATTGGAAATCCGATGGACGCGGATCGAGGCCTGGGTAGTTTCGGTGGAAGGTTGCTCTTTTACCCGCTACCGTGCCGCGAGGCACGAGTTGGAGTGTCCTCAGTTCCCTAGGAGTCTTGGGTCCGCTGTCCTGAGGTTGCGTCAGGAGTCCAGACCCAAAATACTCAAATCTCTCAACACTCCAAGAGAGCAGGGCCTCGAGAGGCAAACATTTGACCCCTCCCTTCGGGGATCTACTGACCCGGGTCAATCCAAACCCGAGTCAGTCAGACCTTGCAGGATCCTGTACCCAAACCTGGTCGATGCAGCCATGGCCCTGCAAGATCCCGCAAGATCTGGCGCTCTGACTGACCCCCGTTTGCACTGACCGCCGTCCTTGTTTTTTCTCACACGGAGTCGAGGTCGATCCCAAGTTCTTGTTTACATGCGGCCACAGGCGTGACACACACACACACACACACACACACAAGCCACGTCTACAGATCACCCAGCATAAGAAACGGAATGCCCATTCCCACATGGATTGTCCTGGAAAGGTGATCCATCTGTCCTGTAGACTCGTCAGGATACCCCAAGAAAAGGGGCATGGAGGCACCTACTTTTCACAGCTACCGACATCACGAGCTCCTTGGACACCAGCACGCCGCCGATCCTCACTCTGCACTCTGTGTTCGACAGGTTTTTTTTTGGGGGGGGGGAGGGGAGGAGGGGGAGCGGACACATCAGCACGATGACACACTCGGCGACGCCAGTGAGCTACCTCAATCGCCGTGCAAATGATGCGTCCAGCCACGCAGGTGAGCAGTCCAGCGAGCGATGGCGTATGTTCGACAGGCACTGCAGAAAGACCAGGAGGTCCTCCCTGCTGTGAATGGCTGCATATCTCGGCAGCCGTGTGCGCTGCGTCTCTGACGTGGTATTTTTTTTTCGAACCTTGGGGAGGTCCGGATGCAGAGATCTGTGATGACGAGGAAGAGGAGGAGGAGGAGGAGGAGGAGGAGGAGGAGGAGGAGGAGGAGGAGGAGGAGGGGGCTAGACTCATCATGTTCCAGAAGAAGGGAACGAGGCTCATCAGCAGCGCAATGAAGGCTACTCCAGATTTCGTAATAAAGGGAGGGGGGTCTCATTTCGGTTTCGGGGGGGGGTCTCGTCCAGGCTATCTTGGAGGGCCAGGGGGGTCTGGGGACGATGTTTTGGAGGGTTCTCCCACGGGGGAGGTCTGAAATGGCTTGTCTTGGAGGGTCCAGACCCCCTCCCTTGTATTACGAAATCTGGAGTATCATATTGTAACACTCTTCCATGAAGATGACCATGAAGACCCTGGCCATGCACCCCAGGATCAGGTCCCGCGCCAGGCGAGGGGCGACCATCCCCCATGCCCAGGATGCCTTAAAAACAGATGTTCCATGTGTCTGTCCATGAGCCGGTGCTTTGCGGTGGCCTGCTTCCACTCAGCCTCGCGCAGCTCGTCGATGCACTCTTGGATGCGCTCGCGGCACATCATCTGGACAAGATTTACCACACGGTTTGACCCATGCCGCCCGACCAATACAGTGCAGATCCACACGGCAGGCCCTGAGGCCATCAATGCATTATGCCAAAAGCCGAGAAACGCTGCCAGAAGGCCGGCGGTTCCAACAAATTCCGCGAACCGACGCCAACCCTCGTTTTGGAAGAACTCAAGCTTGCCAATAATCCTCTGCTTTGCCTCCTTTTTTCATAGAGCTCAGCATCTCGTCGAGTTCGGTCGAAGCTGCTACCCGAGGACATGCGTACTCCTCTGCCGCTTTACACGCAGTCGCAATGGTGCCAGCAAGCAAGAGAAGCGACACATTGGAGATGGACAGAGACCCAAACACGTCACCTCAGGAAAGCTTGGGCACGTTCGCGAGCATGGCGAGCGCGGCGAAGGCCACGGCGGTGAGGGCCGCAGGGATCCAGGCAATGCCGTCCAACCATGACATCTCAGGAACCGCATCCGCGCCGGTGAGCTCTGGATCTCCGCCCTCAATCAGGGGCGCAGACTGGGGGGGAGACTCCATCCCCTGGCCTCTGGCCCCTGGCCCCTGCCCCTGGCCCCTAGCCCTGGCCCCTGCTGCTGCTGCAGCGGCTGCTAATGCTGCTGCTGCTGCTGCTGCTGCTGCTGCTGCTGCTGCTGCTGCCTGCTGCTGCTGCTGCTGCTGCTGCTGCTGCTGCTGCTGCTGCTGCTGCTGCTGCTGCTGCTGCTGCTGCTGCTGCTGCTGCTACTTCTCCGTAGCAGGCGGGGCTCTCGGAGAGTGGCCATAAAGGTCGCCCGAGCGAGATGGCAGTCTGAGGTGTGGTTTGAATCGGAATCGTTCGAGCCCAAATGGCTTGAGCCAAAATAGCTACGGAGCACTGACCCCCGTCTCTTGAACCCCGACCCCTTGGCCTCGGACAACCCCCGGCCGAACGCATCAGGGGGGGGGTCCGGCCTTCCCGAGGCCCCTTTTGCTGCCCCAAAAGGGCCCCCGAAAGCTCGAAAACGACTTCGAAAACTTTCTGACACCCAAGATGGTCCCCAAGGCGGCCCAAGAGGCCCCCAAGAAGCCCCCAAGAGGGCCCAAAAACACCTCACAAGATGGCCCCAAGAGGCCAAAATCGTCAAGTTCTCATCGGAAAGGAGACATGTCTAACCTACGCGATTCCCTCCAGAAAACATACATCTCTAGCATACGCGACTTTTCCGCGTTCACGCTCCAAAACGGCCCAAGGGACCCCAAGACCGCCCCACGACAGCCCAAGAGCCCCCAAGAGAGCGCCAAGACGGCCCACGAAGACCAAAATGGGCCAGAGGCGCCCACGACGGCCCAACAGAGCCCCAAGACGGTCCCAAGAGGGGCCCCAAAAAAATGCATCGAACCGACAATACAACCCTTCCGCATCAAGATGCCCCCAGGAGGCCCCAAGAGGCCCCCAAGAGGCCCTTAAAAGCCCCAAGAAGCCCCTAAAACGCCCCAGGGGGCTCCAAAACGGCCCCCAAGAGAGTTCAAAACTGCCCCCCAAAGGCTTCCCAGAGGTCACCCACGACATCCCAACGATGATCCAAAAGGCGCCCGACCCACAACCTGGACACGGTGGTCGGATGGGCCGAAGGCCACTGGGATAAGGCCATCAAACGGGTGCCCCGCCGTTGTCCGTTCCCGCGGGCTCCCACGAGTCACCTTCGAAATCGCCCGTCAGACTTTCTTTCCATCACGTCTTCCCTCTTTTCCGTCCCTGCCTCCCCTTCTCCTGACTGCCCTTGCTATTGTCCGTTCCCGCGGACCCCCACGAGCCCTCTTCGAAATCAGTGATCTTCCCCCTTGTTCCCCCACGTCACACCTCGTCTCCCTTTTTCCCCATTCCTTCTCAGTAACTATTACCCCCCCTTCCTCTTCGCACTATCGTCATCAATGTTCGCGTTCTGACAACTCCGACGCAGAAATTTGAACGGCATCACCCGCACGATTTGTATTTCAGTTTGCGTCATTCGCGAGCCCGCGCGAAGTTCGCGCCCCCCGCGAATTCGGATTTGGGAAGCTTACTTTTGCAGATGCCCGAACACTCATACGCTTGCCAAATGCGCGACGTGAAGCCGGCACCCACGCAGTCCGCGCATACCAGGTTCCGTCCCTTCACGAAGCGTTCCGCCTCCTTCGCGCCCGTGGCGTGGCACTGCCGCGGGAATCCCTTCTTGCAGGCCGCGCAACCAAGCTCTCGCTTAAGCCGCTTTGTCGCATCGACCACGCCTTTCGCGCTGACCCCCTGTTTGCCACATGCTCCGCAGCTTCGCCGAGCGACGATGCCCCGCTGGGCTGCGGTCCAAACGACCCGTGCCCCAGAAAGTTTTCCCGCAAGCTGGCACACAGCACGTCACCGGCTCTGATTCCGCGTCAAATTTCCGTTTGCGATTGGTTGATTCAAGCGTCAACTTCTCGTGCTCCTCCGCACATGTCCAACACAGCCTCTCCCCGGCACCGTTACGCTTCTTCTGCGCTTCAGACATATCCGCCCTTTCTTCAAAAAGCGACAGGCACGTGCCGCTCGAACATCGCACTGTGCCAACGCTTTGGGGTGCCCTCTTTGGGTCCCCTGGGGACTCCCTTTACACCCGAAAGCAAAAAAAGGAAGTCGATGGATGTGGCGTAAGACTTATGAATCTACCGACGCTCCAAGAGAGCCCCAAGAGCACGTCCACGAGGTCCCCGACAGGCAAAAATCAGTGATAGTCCTTAGGTGTGTGGAAAGCTCTAGCCTTCTCGCCTGTTCGGACTTCCGACCGTCCAAGACGGCCCAAAAGGACCCCAAGATGTTCCCCAGGACGACCCAAGAGGATTCCAAGACGGCCCCAGTAGGGGCCCAAGTTGGCCGAAGGTGCCTCCAAGACGGCCCAAGAGGGCACCGAAATACCCCAACAAGGCCAGGATGGTCCAAGATAGCCCCACGAGAGAAGCCAAAGCCCTTCAAAACATAATGCACACCAACGAGGTTTGCTTTTCTCGCACGGTCGCTCCCTATGAGCCTCTGACGCCTCAAGGTGACTCCAAGATCGCCCAAGATGGCTCCAAGTAGGGCTCGGAAGGGCTCCAAGAGATCCTAAGAGGGCCCCGCATACCCCCAAGAGCGCCCCAGATCAATGGGCGGCTGGCTCCAGGGTGGCTCCGAAAGGCCCCAAGAGGCCCCAAGCTGGCCCGAGATGGTCCAGGAAGCCCGTGGGGGGCCTCCCAAGACGACCAAGCAGCCCAGGAGAGGCCCCCACGAAGACCCCAGAAACCGCCCGCAGGCTCTAAATAATCTCCCAAGAGACACCCTCAACGAGCTTCCTGATTCATCTCGGACGCTTCCGTGAACCCCCCAGAAGCTCCACCTGCTCTTACAAGTGGATTGCCCACCTGCGTGACCCCTATGTCATTAACCCGCTCACCAATGCCAGTGCCTAGCGCAACAAATTGTCAGCCGTGACGCAATACGGGCTGGCGAAGCGATGGAACTTAACCCCAATAAAACTTTGGAGCTCTTATAGAGAAGCGTGATACGATCCGCCACCGTGCCTGCAGCACGTTGCAGCGCGCCTCAAAGCTCACGCAGTCGTGCATAGCCTGGACCCCAAAAAACCCACATTCCCCAGCCCCGAGAGGTGTGTCGCGAGACCCCCACTGGGCCAAAAACGAATTGAAAACTAATGGATTTGCCTAGTTCGTGGCCCAACCAGGTGCGCGGGACCTTCCCCACCCAAGACGACCCCACGAACCCCCAGAGACCCTCCAGAGCGGCCCTAGACACCTCCGGGGCCTTTTGTTTTAGCTGTGATGACCTCTGAGGCGGCCCCAGAAGCAGTCCTCTCCCACCGAAAGGGGCCAAGTATACAGCATCACCAGGGGCGGCCACACGGGGTGTCCACCTGGCCGTGCCCCCCCCCAAAGGGGGGAGTCCACCGAAGCCACTCCCTGGCGGCCTCATGGAGGCCCGCGGCGGTGCAGAGGCCAGCGGCTACGAAACAGGCAGCCACACACTCGCACCGCAGGACATCATGTGGGCCCCAGAGAAGCCTGCAGCCTGCGCCTGAGCTCACCGCGGAACTTGTCCTCGCGGCTGGGATCCCAGTCCACGGCACGCTGCAGCCTCTCCATGGACGTCGCCAGCAAGAGCTCGACCTCGACCTCGCATCGCCCAGGGCCCGAGCTGGGGCCCGCCGCTGCTGCCGCACCGCCTCCACCACCGCGAGCGCGAGGGCCTCCACCAGGGGCCGCGTCCGCGAGCGGGAGGACGCCACGACCCCGACGCCCGTGAGGCCCGCCGCCAGGGGGCCCTGCAAGGCGCGGGGGGGCGCTGGCGGCCGCGGCCGCAGCAGGGCCGTCCGCCCAGGAGTCGTCGGGGAGGGAGCTGCCGCCGACACCGCCGTCCACCACCATCTCGAGGGCCGCCGCCTCGGCATCTGCAGGCCCGCGCCGCGCGCGCGCGCACCGCCGGCGCCACCTGGGCGCGGGGCCGCCAACGCCCAGAGCGCCCACTGCGGGGGCGGCCTGCGCTGCCGCCGGCGCCTCCCCAGGAGGCGGAACAGCTGCGGCGCCCTTGCGAGGCTTCGAAACCTCCAGCACGGCCACGGCGGCGCGGCACAGCCCCTCGGCCGAGCGCAGGAGGCGGGTCGCCTCGCCTGCGCCGCGCGAAAGGCCCGAGGCCGCATGGGCCGCCAGCGCCGCGCCACGCGCGGCAACCAGCGCGTTGCGCAGCTCACGCTGCAGGAGCACCAATGGATCCAGGCACCGACGAAAGCTCTGCGCGGCGGGCCCAGCAGCGAACGGTTTTAGAATGACACAAATGTCTAGCCACTGGGGCCTTCGGTGGAGTTCCCTATGAGGCCACGAAGTGTATGTGGGGTGTGCCGAAAAGGATGGCTGGGACACATGTGGGCACCGACACTGGGGCCTTCGGTGGAGCTCCGTTTGGGGCCACGAAACGTGTGATGTGAGGGAGTGCCGACATGGGTGGTGGGGAAACATATGGGCACCGCCACTGGGGCCTTCGGTGGAGCCTTCTATGGGGCCACGAAACGTGTGCGAGTTGCGCCGAAATTGGTGGCGGGGACGCGTGCGGGCTGCGCCAGGGGACCTTCGGCGAGGCTGCGTACGGGAACACGAAGCTTGTGAGAGGTGTATCAAAATGGGTGGCGGCAACGCATGCGGGCTGCGCCTGTGAAACCTTCGCTGGACCTCCTTTGGAGCCACGAAACGTGTAAGGGGTGTGCCGAAATGGGTGGCGGGGACGCATGCGGGCTGCGCCACTGGGACCTTCGGTGGAGCTCCGGGCCATGAGGGGTGTACCGAAAAGAGCGCTGGGGACGCATGCGGGCTGCGCCACTGGGACATTCGGTGGAGGTCCGATGGGGCCACGAAACTTGTGAGGGGTGTGCCGAAATGGGTGCTGGGGACGCATGCGGGCTGCGGAATTGGGACCTTCGGCGAAGCTGCCTACAGGGCCACGAAACGTGTGAGGGGTGTATCAGAATGGGTGGCGGCAGCGCATGCGGGCTGCGCAACTCAGGCCTTCGGCGCAGCTCCTATGGGGCCACGAAACGTGTGAGAGGTGTGCCGAAATGGGTGGCTGGGACGCATGCGGGCTGCGCCACTGAAACCTTCGGTGGAGCCCCTACGGGGCCACGAAACGTGTGAGTGGTGTGCCGAAATGGGTGGCGGGGACGCATGCGGGCTGCGCCAGTGGGACCCTCGGTGGAGCTCCCTTATAATGGGCCACGAAGCGTGTTTGGGGTGTGCCGAAATGGGTGGCGAGGACGCATGCGGGCTGCGCCACTGGGACCCTCGGTGGAGCTCCTATGGGGGTCACGAAACGTGTCAGGGGTGCATCGAAGTGAGGAGGGTAACAGGAGGAGGGAAGTGGGGAGGAGGAGAAGAAGAGGAGGAGGAGGAGGAACGCGGGGACTCGTCTTCAAAACGAGGACCTGACAACAGGTTGGATGGGATAAAAGGCATAGAAAGCAAACACCAACGAACAGATGTAGGTTTACATATGTGTATATTTGTGTAAATAAAAATGTACGTGGATAAATGTATAAGAAATGTGTATATATACGTGTGCACGTCTAAATGCATGTATATGTATACAAATGTATGTAAACATATACACACATGCGAATGCATATAGATGTGTGCACACGTAAATAAAATATATGTATATCACGAACGGGAATGAGAGTGATACTAAAAGTCCGGGTGTTGACCAAAAGGAAAAATAATTCCGTTGAAGACCTGAAGAACTTATGCAGACCCACTCACCCCAGCCCAACCTCACTATCAGCTAAAAGCGGTCCTACTAGATGTTCGCATGGCCTGGTTGCTAGCTTCCGTTCACATGGCTGGCGTGCCTACTAAATTACACTCGCATGGCTTACTGGATAGCTTGCGCTCGCAAGGCCATTGCTTGCTTGATCGCAAGCAATCGTGTTCATCAAGTGCTTGCTTGTTTGCTCGTTGATCATGGCATGGTTTGGTAAAGTGACTGCATACGTATATTCGCAGGGCATGCTTGCTGGTCGGCATTCGCATGGTGTGCTTGACTGTCGGCTTGCTTGTATTCGTGCGTTGTGCTGGCTGACTTGTTTGGCAAATCTGTTGTTGTCATATATATATATATATATGCCTGCACTGGCTTGCTTGCGAGCGATTAATTGCTGAAGATGGCTTCAATTGCTACTTGGGGAAAGGCGCTGCTAGGTATCGTATACTAAGCCTTTTTTCGCCATCTTGCCACCACTTGCCATTGGTGCAGGGAGGAGGCGGCGTGGGCTGGCCAAGCGTGGTGGCAGCTCAAAATCAGCGAGTGCCGAAAGGCATCTGCACCACCTGTTCCAGGTGGGGAGTCACCGACGGGGGCCGCACGGCGGGCGACTCGAGAAGGCGTCTGATCCTCTGAACCTCGTCCTCCGTATCCTTCTCGACCTTCGTCTCGTTGAAGGCCTGCTGCATCGTCGCCTGCAGGGCCTGCTGCTGGATCTGGTTCATCAGCTCGGTGATCCCCTTCTCCCGGTCGGCAAAGCCCATCATCAACTCCTGGCACCTTTCCAGCTCGGCCCGCATGGCCATCACATTCTCGTAGAGCGCGTCGATCTCGGCGGCGTGCTCGGTGGCGAGCTGGCCCACCATCTCCTCGCAGAGCTGCGAGCCAATATCGTAGAAGGTGGCGCCACCTGGTGGTGATGGTGAAGCTTGGACGGACTGGACTGAGGGGGCCCGGGGACACACATATGACTAAGTGGGCACACATCCCAGGATCCCCCATCTTTGCTTCCAGATGTTCTGGATGCTCAAGTTAGCGTTTTCTTATTCGGCGTTTCGACATTGGGCGGAAGGAAGGGGGAGGGGGGGGAGTCTGACTCTGGACCTCTGCTCAACGCGACTGTTTGCAACAGTGCGTCCAGTGGGGGAGATCTCACCTGCTTGAAACAGGCGCCAAGAGCAGCCAAGATCTACGCCACGAGGGGGGGGGAGGCGGGGGGGTGCGAGAGGGCCCGCGCCGATCGGCAGAACAAGGGATGAGAAAACGATCACCTGCTTCCCCTCCCCTTCCCATGCCTTCCAGCACAGCTCCTTGGACGTCGACGACCCTCTGTATCTCTGCGTGTGCCCTGCGACGCGCGCCATCGCCGCGGCTCGTGCTGCCGTGGGCCGCCCCGGGGGGGCGCTGCGCGACCTCCCCGGGGGGCCCACGGATCGGCGCGCCGAGACACCCGCCAATGCCTCCTTGGACAGGCGCGCTCCGCTACTCGCTAAGGTAACCGCTCGCAAGTGGCCTGGATCCGCCGCGGGGGATTCACGATGTATCACATCGAGGCAGACCATGCGAGGCGGGGACTTATCCATATCCACCGCCTGGGAACCGACGTTCTGGTGCACTAGCGGGCGGTGGATATGGATATATTTCGGCCCCTGGGGGCCCGAATATGTCCATATCAACCGCCTGCCGAGGATCCGAAAACTGACCCTCCAGGCGGTGGTCATGTACAAATTCCCGCCTCGGAAACCAATGTTCTGCGGAGGTTTGCGAGCAGGCACTTTGCGAGCAGTGGTGCGCGCTCGGTGCTACTTGCCAGCGGGCGAGGAACGGCACGAGATAACGGTTTTTTGCCACTAGGGGCGCCTGTCCCGGGGCTGGACTTCACTCCAAGCGTTTCCTGAAGCAGCAGTCCGGGTCCCGATGTACGAAAGTCCAACGAAAGAAAGCTCCAAGAAAGCGCTCAGGGTCCAGTCCAGATTCCTGATTTCTTAAGCGAAATCTGGAGCCCATAGGTATAAACTTTTCCGACACCGCGGGCGCTGGACAGTTTATACCCTGACGCGCCACTGTAGGGCATAAACTGTCCAGCCGCCCTGGGGCAGGCGTCCCCGACGGCGAAAATGTTTCTTTTATACCGTCATTCGCCCGCCATTATTTGCGACCTCTGAAGGTCTGAGGTTGGGAGAGCAGTTCCTTGCTCGTGACACTGGCGGCACTGTTTTCCCAGATCCAACCTGGGCCCCCAATCTGATTTCCTGCCCGCGGCCCCCAGCTAGGCGCGCTCGACGTTGACGCAGCCGGCACTGACGGCATCCCCCAACTGCAGCTCGGCGCCCCCGACCACGACGCAGCCGGGCGGGTCGAGGCTCCCCACGCGCCGCCCGGCGCGCTCGAGAAAGACGCAGCTGAAGCTGTCGGCGCCCCCCAGCTATGCGCGCTCGACGCTGATGCAGTCGGCGCTGTCGGCTTCCCCCAGCTGCCGCTCGGCGAGCTCGAAAACGTCGCAGCAGGGCCGGTCGACGCCCTCCAAGTGCCGCTCGGCGCGCTCGACGACGAAGCAGCCGGCGCTGCAGCCGTCGCCCGGGTGCCGCCAGGCGCGCCCAGCAGTGATGCAGCTGGGCGATCTGGCGTTGCCCAGGTCCTGCCAGGCGCGCTCGACAACGACGCGGTCGGCGAGGCCAGCTGTCCCCAAGGGCTGCTCGGCGCGCTCGACGATGACGCGGCAGGCGCTGCCGGCATCACCCAACTGCCGCTCGGCGTGCCCGACGCAGCTGCGCGGGTGGACGAACCCCAGGTGCCGCTCGGCGGGCTCGACGGTGACGCGGCCGCAAGGGCGGGCGTCGTCGCCCCGGCACAGCTGGGCGCGCTCTTGCCGAAGCTGGCGCCCGCCACGGCAGCTTGAGAGATCCCCAGGAAGTCCTCTGGCGGCGAGGGGGCGGCGAGCGGGGGACTGACGCGCACGGGCGCGCGGACGCGCGAGGGCCCGCGAAGAGGCAGGGGAGGGCAGCGACACGGGCAGGCGGAAGCGGATGCGGACAAGGCGGCGGCAGTGCGGGCGGAGGAAGGGCACCCGGGCAGTCCGGGGCGGTCTCAACACCCCAGCGCCGCCTTCGGCGGCGCGCCTAGGGCGCTCCGGCGCCTGTTGAGGCCAGTCTGGACCACCTCGCGGGGCTGCCTGCGCGCAGCCCTGAGCCTTGCCAGATGACGTGTTCAACGTCGGACTGGGGAGAACGAGTCCAAGGCGCCGAGCTGCCGCGAAAGCATGCCCTCCCAGGCTAAGAGAACCTCTCCCCAGGTCCATCCTGGACACTTCTTCGAGCTGCGTCCATCCGCCCCAGAAAAATACTCATCGGCCTCCGCCTCTGCCTGCTCGATTCCTTTTCCTTACTAATAACTCCTCCCTGTCGCTCGCCGAAGCCAGTCGGAAAGGTGGGCTGGTTTTGCCTGAGACTTCCTCACTACTGATGCTCCTGAGTTTCAAAAATTGGCAATGGAGGGTAGCTGGTTTTCAAAATGTGGCTCTCGTCTAAGCACCGCACACATCTGTTGTTTAAACGCAAGAGCTGCATGGACTGAGGACAAGTGACTTTGAACATGTGCCTCTCACCTTAGGACCACGCACAGTCGTCTTATAAAGTGCAAGAGCTTCACGAATGGAGGACGGGACGTTTTCAAATTGTGGCTCTCGCTTTCGAGCTGCGCACAATCGTCCTTGAAAACTGCAAGAACTTCACGGATGGAGGGCGGTTCTTCGTTTGATGCAGCTCTTCCTTTAGCGACGCGCAGATTGGTCATACAACATTGCAAGAGCTTCACGGATGGAGGGCGGGTCGTTTCCAAAATGTGGCTCTCGCCATAGCGCCGCGCACATTCGACTTGAGAGTTCACAACAGCTTGAAGGGTTATCATGGCAAACGTCCCAGAAATGGTGTTGTAGCACGATGTGGGACTATCAGGGTGAACAGTTACGTTGATTCGCGATGTTGAAGTCCCAGTAGGGCGTTCTGGTAAAATTCAGGATCGTCAAGACGCAACAACAACGATGATTCGCGGCGCTAGAATCCCAGGACTGTGTTCTGGCACAGTCTAGACTCTTCAAACGGTTGCTTTCCAACGGGTCATGTCCTTCAGTGAAAATGAACCCTTCTAGGGGGCCTATGAAGAGGGAGTTTGGAAGGAGGCTGTATTGCAACATCGTTGATGAGTACGGGATGTACGCTGGTCATCCTCCTCCTCCTCCTCCTCCTCCTCCTCCTCCTCCTCCTCCTCCTCCTCCTCCTCCGCCCCCTCCTCGCACCCCAATCCCTCCTCCTCCTCCTCCTCCTCCTCCTCCTCCTCCTCCTCCTCCTCCTCGTCCTCCTCATCCTCTGCCTCCTCCTCCTCCCCGCCGCCGCCGCCGCGGGCGTCGCCGCTGCCGTCCTTGACGTGCACCTCGCCAGGCGTCTCGGCGCACTCCAGGAGGCCCCGCAGCGAGGCCTCCGGCAGCGGCGCGTCCTCCCTCGAGGCGAACCACGGGTGGCGCAGCGCCTCTCTCGGGCGCGGCCTGGGAACACGACAACGCCGACGACGACGCCGACGACGACGCCGACGACGGCGCATCGGCGATGGCGACGACGACGGCGACGACGACGACGACAACGACGACAACGACGACGACAACGACGACGACGACGACGGCAGCGGCGACGGCGGCGATGGCGTCGACGTCTTCGCTTCGGAGACCCGCGAGCGAAGTTCTCGTCGCAACAGCTGGACGCAGCTCGAACAAGTTGCCAGTATGGACCCTCGGAGGGGTCCTGGGATCGATTTTGAGTGGACGTCAGAGCAGGAGGAGGCGGATGAGGGAAGAGGGCGATCGAGGTTCCAGAATCAAGGTCTTTGGGCGCTTGTCGCCATCTCTGGGCCTCTAAGATGCCTCCTGAGATTCTTGCCAGGGCGCGCCCTGGGAAAGAACTGGGAGTCGACTCTGTACGGGGTGGGAGAATGAGGAGAAGGCGGAGATGGAGGGATGAGTAAACTGCTTTATATCCCAGGTAGGGCCATCGATCGACCTGTAATATGCAGTGTTTGAATGATTGGGAGGCGGGGGAGGGTAGGAGGAAGAGGAGAGGAGGAGGAGGAGGAGGAGGAGGAGGAGGAGGAGGAAGAGGAGGAGGAGGAAGAGGAGGAGGAGGAGGAGGAGGAGGAGGAGAAGGAAGAGGGAGGAGGAGGAGGACGAGGAGGAGGAGGAGGAGGAGGAGGAGGAGGAGGAAGAGGAGGAGGAGGACGAAGAAGACGAGGAGGAACAGGAGCATAATCAAAACAGGAACAGGAACAGTAACAGGCACAGGAACAGGCACAGGCACAGGAGGGAGGGAGAAAGGGAGGTAGGGCGTCATGGCCCCGAAGGGGACCTGCACCTGGGACCGGGGAGCACGTTGGCGGTCTTCTCTGGGCAGACCTCCAAAGCCGTCAGGGACAACCACTGATCCAAGAGAGCAGAGCCATCCTCGGAGCCAGCAGCGGTAGCAGCGTGGCCTGTACGGATGGGTAGGGAAAAGAAGAATGGCATAAGCATAAACTTGGAGGTCCGCGCGGATTTCGCGGATCGGCGCTGGACCCCCTTCCCTGGCGCGCGGAGCGTGCCATGGGCGGCGCCAGAGGCGCCGCCAAGGGGGTCTAGCGCGGATTCGAAAAAAATTGCGCGGACCTCCGAGGTTGTGTGTTCATGCGATTGTTCGTTCCCCTAAAGAGGAATAGAACTTCTCCTGCATCATCAGCGCCACGGCTCGGGGCCTGCCAAACATTTTCTAAGCCCATGTGCTGCAAGCGTTATGCTGTGCCGAGGGTGCCCGTGGCCGGGCAGCAGTGCCAAGCTCCTGCCTCGACTCCAAGCCCGCGCCACCATCCAAGCGCACAAACGCTTCTGGGGCCCCCGTTAGAACTGGCGCATGCGATGCGCCTTACTGCGCGCAGCACACAAGCGCTGACGACGCACACGACGCAGCACACGTTTCCCGCACGTGTCGTCTACAAGACTGCGCTGTGACCTGGCCCATACTGGTCCCAACGTGTTCAGCTGATTTCTGATATCCGCCCGCCCGCTGCAGCGCGCATCCTTCAATCATGAATACTGAGCTGGCAGCGAGCAAGGGCCTCATCTAACTCCTTGGCAGCCTGAATCACCATCTAAGCAGTGCCAAGCCGTCGCAGAATGACGTCGTCGAGCACCAAAGCCGCCGCGACGCCTTTGAACGGGCAGCAGCCCACGACTCTCAAGTGTGAGGCTGTCTTTACGTCGAGCTCTGGCTGCCTCCTCTGTTCTGGGGTCGGGTCCCTGATCCATCGGCACTTCCTGTGCGAAGATTGGGGCGATCAAGCGCGGCTGTCTGACAGATTTACAACATTGTTTGACTATCTGCCAGACCCTCGGGTCCAGTGCTTGCTGGAGCAGAAGCTGTGGCATGCCTGTAGTTCCCAGTGATTTCAACCCACCTGCCGACGACGGCACGAAGTGGCAGAAGCGTACAGAGAACGGAACTCCGGTTGGGCGGCAAGCCTTGTTGGATGGCTCCGTGCATGACAAGGACTGGGATGCGGAAGCGGTGGCGGGGTGGGCGATTGTCACGCTCTCTGAGGGCCCGCTTGACGTCCAAGACGTTATGCACGACGCGCTGCTGGGATCATGCATTGATACGGACGGGGCTGAGCTGCATGCCCTTGGCAAGCTGCTTCGTGTGCAGGCGCCACATGTCGAAGCGGTGGCAGTTTTAAAGTTTGTCTGGGATGGTGGGAATATGAGGGGCCCTGCGGGCACCACGGCCTGGTGTGTGGCCTGGGCAGAACTCTGGAGGGATTTCTGGGCGGCCCTCGATGAGTTCAGGGGGATCGGGCCCCAGGGCATCACCGCCACCAAGGTGAAAGCCCACCTGAGCATCGGGGCCCGTAGACGCTGGACGTGTCTCGCGCCGCGGTCGGTCCGGAAATTGTTCAGCTGACGTCTGGGCCAAGCTTGCGGCCTCGCGTGTGGGAGTTTCGAGCGAGGCTCGGAAACGAGCTCAGCTCTTGCAGGTCCTGGTCAATGAGCGCGGCCAGTGGGCTTCAAGAGCTGGCGCTGCAGTAAATCCGACGGATGCGATGAGGCTGCGCTCAAGATTGAAGCCGTCCAAGGCCAGGCAGCTGGTTGTGGTGCATCCTAGGCGTGAATGATCTGGCGTGGCCCCTTGGGACCCAGTGGTGCATGAGGTGCCGCATCCCGCGGCCGCGGCCACGGACTGCTCTGGTTCAATCGGTAAATCCCACCAGCCCTTTAGGGCGTAGGTGGTCTAGAGAGTTTCCTCTGCCAACCCCCCTTCTTTCCCTTCGGGGAGGGGTTTACCCCTCCCCTTACCCCTCCCCACTGACCTGGACGGGGCGTTCCGCGACGCGTTGGGACGCCCAAGATGGCCCAAGACTGCTCCAAGAGCGAAAAGGCGAGAAAACACAAAACATTGATTTTCCTTAGGTTTTGGAAGGATTTTGGCCTCTTGGGGGGGCCCAAGAGGCGATCCGAGGCACTCTAGAGGGGCGAGCCTAATTGAGGCTCCCCCCTTCTTTGATAGATCTCCTCCAAGATGGCCCCAAGTGCGCCCCGAAGGCTCCCAAGAGCGCCCCAAGAGCGCCCCAAGAGCGCCCCAAGAGACCCCAAGAGGCCCCCAAGAAGCCTCTAAGAGGCTGCCAAGAGACCCCCAAGAGGCCCCAAGAGAGTCCAAGATGGCCCAAGACGGCTCCAAGAGCGAAAAGGCGAGAAAGCAAAAAACATTGATTTTACCTAGGTTTTGGAAGGATTTTGGCCTCTTGGGGGGCCCAAGAGGCGACTCGAGGCACTCTAGAGGGGCAGCGCTAATATACGACCCTCCCTTCTTTGATCGATCTCCTCCAAGATGGCCCCAAGAGCGCCCCGAAGGCTCCCAAGAGCGCCCCAAGAGCGCCCCAAGAGCGCCCCAAGAGGGCCCCAAGAGGCCCCAAGAGGCCCCCAAGATGCCCCCAAGAGGCTCCCAAGAGACCCCCAAGAGGCCCCAAGATGCTCCCAAGATGGCCCAAGACGGCTCCAAGAGCGAAAAGGCGAGAAAGCAAAAAACATTGATTTTCCTTAGGTTTTGGACGGATTTTGGCCTCTAGGAAGGCCCAAGAGGCGATTCGAGGCACTCTAGAGGGGCAACGCTAATAAGCAACCCCCCCTTCTTGATAGATCTCCTCCAAGATGGCCCCAAGAGCGCCCCGAAGGCTCCCAAGAGCGCCCCAAGAGCGCCCCAAGAGGGCCCCAAGAGGCCCCAAGAGGCCCCCAAGAGGCCTCCAAGAGGCCTCCAAGAGACTCCCAAAAGGACACAAGAAGCTCCCCGAGATACGCAAGAGGCCCCCGGGACCGCCAAGAGGCCCCAAAGACGGCCCAAGAGGCCCCCAAGCTCGCCATTGTCCTCCTCCTCCTCCTCTTTTTCTCCCTCCTCCCTCCTCCCCCTCCCCCTCCTCCTCCTCCTCCTTCTCCTCCTCCTCCTCCTCCTTCTCGTCCTCCTCGTCCTCGCCCTCCTCCATCTCCTCCTCCTCATCTTCCTCCTCCTCCTCCTCCTCTTTCTCCTCCCCCTCCTCCTCCTGCTCCTCCTCCTGCTCCTCGTCTTCCTCCTCCTACTCCGACGACGACGACTCCTCCTACATCCTCCCCCTCTTGGAACGTATGGCGGCTTAACCCGCTCTTTGTTCTTCTGCATGCTCCCCCGCTTCCCTCATCACCTCCACTCCTCTGGGGCTCATTTCTGGACGGGCTGGTGGGGATACGCGAAGCGTCTAGAATTATTCGGAGTGGTGAGCGTGAGCATGGGCTTGTCAAGTTAATCACCCCTTTGGAGAGCGGCCGCTCCATAATTGCGGTGGTCACTTATTTGAGCTGTGGCACTGCAAGCAGCCGACAACTGGTCCCCCTCCTCCACCCATACAGTCGATGGGGTCCATGGCCAACGCGCTCTTCGGAGGATGGAAGAATGTTTTGTGCCCCACACGAAGGTGGCAAAGGTCACGACAGCAGTGGCCATGCGCCGCGGTCGAGAAAGCCCAGCGGGAATCAGATCCGGACTCCTTACGGGAAACCGGCAGCGTGCACTGCGATGCCGTGATGGGGTCCCGAGCGGGCTGCCCAGTTCTCGCGACCCACGCGCAAGGGGTGATGATTGCGACTGCCGCCGCTGCGGCTGGGCAGAGTGGTGGCGCGCATGCGTGGGCAACTTCGCGTGTTGGCGCGCGGAGGCGAAGGAAGGAGGAAGGAAGAGTAGAAAGAGGAGGAGAAGGAGGAGGAGAAGGAGAAGGAGGAGAAGGCGAAGAAAGGGGGCCAGAAGGAGAGAGGAGGAGGAGGAGGAGGAGGAGGAGGAGGAGGAGGAGGAGGAGGAGGAGGAGAAGGAGGGGAAGGAGAAGGTGGACGAGGTGAAGGGCGAGGAGGAGGAGGAGGAGGAGGAGGAGGAGGAGAGAGGAGGAGAAGGAGAGAGGAGGAGAAAAAGGAGGAAGAGGAGGAGGAGGAAAAGGAGGAGGAGGAGGAGGAGGAGGGAGGAGTTGGAGCTAAAAGAGAGGAGCGAGATAGGAGATAGGGTCATAATGAGGGAGGAGGAAGGGGCGGATCCCATGTGCACCTTAGAGCATGGCTGACAAGGGATTGCGACCGTCCAGAGCAAAGATGTAGCGTGTAGCCAGCACTGAGGCAAGAGCATGATCCCTGAATAACGTGTGAGGAAGTCTCACGCGAAACGGCTGCCAGTCCGGGCGGTCTAGGGCTCCCCGCTCCCACGGTGAGACTGTTCTGTGGTCCTCTGCTGCCAGTGTGAGAAGCCTCTCGCGAAACGCCTTGAGGGAAAGAAGCCGCCCTCCATCCGAGCAGGTACGCTGCATGGTGAACACGGAACACGTGTCACACGTGCTGACGAAGTTTCCAGCGGGAGCCACACGCTGGCAAGGAACCACCACCCATCCGTTCCACTGCTCAGCGTTCAAAGCGAATGCGCATGCCGCTACGGCAACTTCCGCATGTTCAACCCCACACGCCAACCATCCTAGTACCTTGCGATGCGGCGAACCTTGCAAGACGAATGTGCGCAGCGACAGGACGAAAGCAACAGATTGAAAACGGCCCGCCGTCCATCCTTGAGTCGTCGAAAAATCTGAGACACGTGTGCTCGGTGATAAATTCCTCATGCGGACCATTACCACTATCGTCATCGGCGTCTGCATCAGCCTTGATTATTATGATATTACATCCAAGTTTCTGCTACACTTAGGTCAGGCAACGAGTCTGCAAACCAGATCATACCTGATGCCTGTGGGAACAAAAACGTGGGTCGCGTGAGTTATGTATTGTCGCTGATGTCGTGCATGGGCCTCTGTTCGCGAACCCGCAGCGTCATCATGTTCGTGAGGTCCTTCAGCTTGGGCATGGCAGGAAACCGCTCCCAAGGCAAAGCCTGATTCTTGGCAGCATTGTAGGGGCTGCTGTCGCTCATAAGCACACCAGCTTTTTTTAAGGTCCTTCCACCTACCAGAATCGGCACCTGTCCAACCATCAACTGGAAAAACACGATACCGAGGCTGAAGACGTCTCCGCGGGGATACCACTTCTCCTCCTCGTACGTCTCTGGCGGTATATAGCCAGGCGTTCCACCGCTACCCGTAGCGTTGACGAGACGCAGGGCCAACCCAAAATCGATCAACACAGGACGGGGTCTTGCAAAAGAATCAAAATTTGCAACCATAATATTTGGCTCCTTGATGTCACAGTGTAACGATCCCTTATCGTGCAAATGATCGACGCCTTCCAAACACTGTCTGAAAATCTCCCGCCACCATGATTCGCTCATCTTCTGCCCAGCATTATGAGCGTTGGACCCAAGCTTGGTAAAGTCTTGCCCGCTATAAAGTTCGTTGATAATGTAATAGGCCCCTTGGTCTTGAAAAATGTCGTGGGTCCTCGCCACGTTATCGTGGCGAAAGCGGCGCATCGTCGTAAACTCGCTCAAGACCACCTCGACGTCGTACTTACTCAAGAAACCCTTGTTGACTTTCTTGGCACAGAGGTGGTCTCGTCCCTTCTGGCACAAGTACATCACACCCTGCGCCCCACGCCCTATCTCTTTATGGATAACGTATCCTGCCTGCTCTGGCGTCTTCTCGGGCGGACTCTCCGATCCCCCGCCCAGCTGAATCAGTTTTTCTATCATCAGTGCCTTGCACATCCGCTTCACCTCGTGTTCGTCCATCATCCCATTGTTATCGAAATCGAACTTCGGCGCGTGCTCCACGACTCCCTGGAATACATCTTCTGGCAGCCCGAGGTTCTGCGAGAGAAGCGGAACCATGCCCTGCAGCTGGTCCATGCGCAGCGCATCCTGAGGCGCAAGAGGAAAAAACGTGTGAAAGAACACACAGCCTGCGCCAAAAGGACACACCTGCTACACCCCCTTACAGTGGAGGTCCGTCCACAAGAAATCTTCTACAAGAGACCCGACCCTGAGACACCAGGACGTCCACCGAGTTTTGCAATAGGAACGTCACGCTTTCCACAGCAAAGCCATCGAGACCCAAGAAACCCAGGGCACCGGCACCCTGGAGGCAAGCAGGGTGTTTCTTGGCATGGGTCTCCACTGCACGCTCGTGTGCGCTGGCGGCGCTGATTGAGACGGGGCGAGCCCCCCAGCCGCGATTGTGCCTCAGGGTAGCAGGCAGAAGAACCGCCCTCAGAAGAAGCACCCCGACAAAAGCGAGGCCCTCTGGCAAACGCACCTTGAGGAGGGAATCGAACAGGGCAGGCCCATGGAGGAAACGCCCAAAGCTGTTTGGCAAATGCCGGTTAGCCCTTACGCCCCTGATATTGATCCCCTGGGGAATATCAAAGGTCGGGGTCCAGGGGGGAAAATAAACGTTCCCCCGGAGATAACAAACGTGTTCCCGGGGATAGCAATTCAACGTCGGACTTATGGGGGTCCCGGTGGTTTTTCCTCCCTTTGACACGGGGGGGGGAGCTCTGCCAGGGTTCACGCCACCGCGGGCCGGCGAGAGGGGGCAGGAGCCTCGACCCGAGCGCGGCGTGCCCGCGCCTGCACAACTCCGCCCCGCCCCGCCCCGCCTCTGCCCTGCCCTGCCCGCTGCCCGTGCCTCGCTGCGCTGCCCCTCTGCGCTGCGCACCGCCCTGCCCGCCTGGCCCCGGCCGCGCACCGCCCTGCCCCGGGCTGCCCTGCCGTGCCCGCGCCCTGCTCTGCGCTGCCTCCTGCCCCCCCTGCAGAGCCCCGCCCTGCCCTACCACGTCCCGCGCTGCACTGCCCTGTCGTGCCGCATCCTCCCCTCTGCACACTGCCTTGCACTGACCTGCCGTGCCCCAGGAGGTCTCATGGCACTGGCCATGATGTCCACACGCACACCACTGTGGGGCTGTGGATGCCATGGCAACGGACAGTCTAACAGTCCTACCGTTGATTCGAGAATGTGCGCATCATGCTTTCAAACATATTGATAAGAAGATGCAAACAGGTTTTCAATGCTTGATATGTGTTGAGCATGTGCTCAAAGATGCTTCACACATCTGGCAATTGTCTGGCAACATGCCTCCTCTCCATTGATCGTTTTCCCAAGCTGTAGGGACTGGGCACCACCCCCGTCTTGGACGTTTCCGAGAAAGTGACCGCAGCTGAACGCAGCACCGGGGGCCGGGGACGGCGAGGCACCAGCCTTGGACGGCGCCGGCAGAGGATCCTCTCCCTGGCGGCGGCGAGACGGACGGGCAGCGCCGACCGCCGACCAGACAGTCGGGGAAGCGAGGCCAGCGAATCGGGCTGGCGACAGCGGAGGGCAGCCAGGTGGGCCAACAGCTGGATTCCGCTTCATTTGAAAACTCGGGAGGCAAGATGAGGCTTGCGCGTGCAAGGCGGGCGCCTGCGGCCTCGAGGCGTGCGCAAGAGCATGCGAGGAGTTCGAGGTATGGCCGCAAAAGCACACTCCGAGTCAAGTCTTAGGTATGGTATTCCTGGGCATGCCGAGACGGTTTTGGACAGAAGGTGACTTAAAAAATAAGACGGGAACCCAACCCTACGTGGCCAGCAGAGGAGACGGGCCGCCACAGAGGTCAGCACCAAGACCAGGGGCCAGTCGGGGTCCCAGAGATCTGGTGTCTCGAATTGCTCAATACGGGGTACCCGGAAGTCCCGACCCCTTCCCCAAGGCCAGTTTCTCGCCCCGAAACGTTATTGGGCGGCCCCAGGGCCCAGCGAGGGCCTCCAAAGGCCGGCAGCATCGATCAACCTCCGTCTTGTTACCAATCATCCTGTGGTGTCGAGTCCTCGTTTTGAAATGACAGCGCCGCGCGTTCTCCTTCCTACCCGAACTGCCCCTCCTCCCACTCATCCCTCCTCCCACCCCTGCCTCTGCCCTACGCAACAGTCAACAATGTCGGCATGCACACACACACACATACACACACACACACACACACACACACACACCACACGTTTCGTGGCCCCACCGCACAAGTCAACTATTTCGTCACACCGCTCACGCGCTTCGTGGTCCCATAGGGATCTCGACCGAAGGCCAACGTGGCTGCGATCGCATTGCACCACAGCGCCCGTTTCGGCGCACCCCTCATACGCTTCGTGGCCCCGTAGAGAGCTCCACCGAAGGTCCAAGTGGCTGCGCTTGCATGGCGCCACCGCACCAAGTTCGGCACACACCTCACACGCTTCGCGGCCCCATCGGTAGCTCCACCGAGGGCCCCAGTGGCTGCGCTCGCATGGCGCCACCGCATCCGTTTCGCACGGCCCTCACACGCTTCGTGACCCCATAGGGAGCTCCACCGAAGGCCACAGTGGCTGCGCTCGCATGGCACCACCGCGCACGTTTCAGCACACACCCCAAACATTTCGTGGCCCCGTAGGGAGCTCTACCGAAAGTCCCCGTAGCTGCGCACGGATGGCACCACCGCATGCGTTTCGGCACATCCCTCAGACGCTTCATGGCCCATAGATAGCTCCACTGAGGGCCCCAGTGGCTGCGCTCGCATGGCGTCACCGCATCCGTTTCGGCACATCCCATACACGCTTCGTGGTCCCGTAGGGAGTTCCACCGAAGGCCCCAGTGGCTGCGCTCGCATGGCACCACCGCGCCAATTTCGGCGCACCCCTCACATGTTTCATGACAGGGAACAACGTACCATGCGCGTCGCAGAGGCAGCGGGCGCACTCCAGGATACCGTCGCACGCACACGTTTCTGAGCCCACCGTCCTCCCGCTTCTCGCCCGACAGACCTGAGACCGCTGCCAGCGCGCCCTGAAACGCCTTGGACACGGCTTCCCCCACGCCCCTGATTCGGGCGCGCCCATGAAGGGGGCCAGGAAGAGGGGCACACAGCCCTGCCTAGACCTCCGACGGCGTCACTTTGTTTACAGCATGGTTCCCAAAATGTCTGGACCTTCTCCCCGGAGCCAGACAGTCCCGGGGCCCGGTGAAAGCCCTGGAGGCAGAAAACGAACAAAAACCGACCGTCGCAATTTTTCTCAACGTGAGGAGGTCTAGGCTCTCGAACCGCAACTCGGGCCTCTGGCGGCCGTTCGGGACCGTCCGGGCATCCCTGGAAAGCTCTCGACGAGGCGCAGCTGCTGGGAAAGCACCACGAGGCGAGAAAATTCCAATAAACCCGGAAAACGTCTCCCAGACATCCAACGTCGTGAAGTTTAACCACGTGGCCCCACAGAGGTCTGGACCCGTTCCCCAGGACGCGTTCCTCAATCCTGGGCCGATTTCTGACGGCCCCCAGGGGCCGGTGAGGGCCCCTGGAGGCCGAAAAGAACCAAAAACCTGGAGCCGCGCTTCTGTCACGGCGCGCAGATGTCCGGGTCCCCCTTCGATAGCCACCCCCCCTTCCCTGAGATCCGACGTCTCGAAAAATCTTGCAGTTGCACATCGCGGCCGCGAGCCCCAGACCCCGTCCTTCTGCGCCACGCTTCGCGCCAGATCGATCCGCGAAGGCCCCGGGGCCCGAATCTGGGCGAGAACGCCCGGCCCGAAAAAGGCGCCTCGCCCGGACCTCGGGGTTCGGCCCCTCGGGCCTGTGGCTCAGCAGCTCCTGGAGCACCGCCAGCACCGCGTCGCTGCCGTCGCCGCCCGGGCGGGCGCCGAGGTCCGCGGCCGCGGGGCTCCAGAGGCCGACGCCGCCGCCCCGGGAGGGGCCACCGAGGGGGAGGTCGTCGTCGTCGTTGCCGTCGTCGTCGTCGCAGCCGCCGCCGCCGCCGCCGCCGCCGCCGCCGTCGTCGTCGTCGTCGTCGTCGTCGTCGTCATCGAAGGGGCGGTGGGAGGGGGGGAAAGGGAAGGGAGGAGAGAGGAGAGAGGGCAAGCTAGGCGCGCTTGCGCCATATCCGACATCCTACCCCATCTCACCCATCCTTTCCCATTGCGCTGTTCCTCAATCAGAGCTTGCCTATGTATGGGGTCCTAGCGGATTCATATGTTTGGGTGAGGTTGCAACCGATTTCCGCGGCCCGCCCGGGTACCCTATAGCCCTATAGCCCTATAGCCCTATAGCCCCATAGCCCTACAGCCCTACAGCCCTATAGCTTCATAGCCCTCTAGCCCTATATCCTTATAGCCCTATAGCCACAGAGCCCCATAGCCCCATAGCCCTATAGCTCTATATAGGCCTATAGCCCTATAGCCCTATAGCCCTGTAGGCTTAAAGCCCTATAGTCCTATCGTGCTAGAGCCCTACAGCTCTACGGCCCTATGGCCATATAGCCCTGTAGCCCTATAGCCCTATAGCCCTATAGTCCTACAGCTCTACAGCCCAATAGCCCGATAGACCCCATAGCCCTAGGGCCCTATAGCCCTATAGCCCAATAGCCCAATAGCCCTATAGCCCTAAAGCCCTATAGCCTTATAGCCCTATAGCCTAATAGCCTTATAGCCCTATAGCCATGTAGCCCTACAGCCCTATAGCCCTATAGATCTATATGCCTGTAGCCCTATAGCCCTCCAGCCCCATAGCCCTATAGGCTCATAACCCCATAGCCCTGTATCCCTATAGCCCCATAGCCCTATAGAATCATAGCCCTGTGGCCCTGTAGCCCTATAGCCCCATAGCCCCAGAGCCCCATAGCCCCATAGCCCTACAGCCCTACAGCCCTATAGCCCTATAGCCCTATAGCCCTGTAGCCGTATAGCCATATAGACCTATAGCCCTACGGCCCTATAGCCCTATAGGCCCATAGCCCTATCGCCCCATAGCCCCATCGCCCTATAGCCCAATAGTCCCATAGCTCTATAGCCCCCCCCCCCCAAAAAAAAAAAAAAAACGTTGATTGGGTTTTTCTCCAGTTTGATTAGTGTATATGTCAGCCGACGTGTGTCGCATCGGATCCAGAACACCCAAAAGGACCCCCCATGTGTCACGTGGAATCACAAGTGGAGAGATGCGTACAGTGGTGGAACGGGATGGCGGACGAGCAGGAGGATGAGCATGAGGAAGAGGAGGACCATGACGGAGAGGGACAAGCAGGAGCAGAACTGGACGAATCGGGAGGAGCATGATGAGCAGAGAAAGGTGGGGGGTTAAGCAGCGGGGCGACTACGATGAGGAAGCACTCGGATCCGTAAAAGCGGCCTGCGCTGGGGCGAGAGCACAATTCTAAACGACGGGAGCACTGCGCCGATCCTCAAACGAGCCCAACGCTACAAAAGCATGACCCGCTTGACACACAGAAAAAGTTCTGGCTGACACAAAAACAGCAACAAGGTAACAACACCACCTGGAGCCCCCATCGAACCCCAGCGTTCCCACGAGGGGGGTAGGAAACCTTGCTGGAGGCCCCATGGGGAGCAGGGGGGCAACGGGCAACGGGCAACGGGCAATGGTTCCACCCAGAACTAGCACGCGCGCTCCGCAGAGGCTCCCATCCACGAGCTCCTCAGTGCGGCATCAGTAAGGCATCTTCCCTCAGGAATCCGAACGAAGGAATCCTCGATAAGGAGTCTTCCCTAAGAAATTCTTGATAAGGAATCTGTACTAAGGAATCCTGATAAGGAATTTGTACTAAGGAATCCTTACAAGTGAAGAACATTGACTAAGGAATCTTCAGCAAGGAATGCGTATTCAGGATTCCTTGATAAGGAATATGTACAAAGAAACCCGTGGTAAGGAGTCTATATTAACGAATCCTTGAAAGGAATACGTATTCAGGAATCCTCAATAAGGAAATGTCACTAAGGAAGCCTGAAAAGAACCTTTGATAAAGACTCGTATGCAAGGAATATGTACTAAGGAGTCGTCATGGAGGGACTTTACGAAGGAAACCCGAGTAAGGAATCTTTACGAAAGAACCCTTAGCAATAATCTTTGCAAAGGGATCATTGGTAAGGAATATTTACTCAGCAATTCTCGGTAAGGAAGCTCGACCTCCTGTCATGGGCTAAAACTATGATGGTGCGCGCGCTTCCTGCTTCTACGCTGGCCAACAGCTTGTTGCAAAGCGTGTTCGATGCCATCGAAAATAACGTATCCAGGAATAGATCGTACGAGAACTTCCTGGAAGGACGATGCAATTCCAGACAAATCCAAACATGGTTGCTGACCCTTGAAATTTCGCTGCCGTTCAGGCCGCTGCTGTTTCTGAGTCAAAAACCTGCGCTGCCTATGGACGCACCTGTGGTCGAGGCCAGCAGCCACTGCATTGACGCACCAACTCTGAACAAATTCAAACGAAACAACAACGCATTGAAAGTCGATCTGGACACGTGACCCATCGAAAGCACGTAAGCATGTCCACGAATCAAGGGCATGACGTGCCTCCAGCTGGCGGCTCAGAAACTGTTGCCCATGTTCCGAGAGCCATCGAACCAGCATCTCCCGCGAGCGTTGCGTCCTCCACACTCGCATGGCCCCAACATGTCTACGCCATCCCCCTCCTGTAACTCACCGATGGAAGCGTTGAAGTCGCCACCAACGATCGGCACCATACCCTGGCGCTTCTCGTCATCAAGTAGAAGAGACAATAGCGTGTACACTTCCTCAACAGCCTCAGGCGCGTCACAAGACGTCGGGAAGTAAGGACATCTTGCCCAAAACTGTGTAGCGCCATACGAACTCCAATGCACAGACCCTCTCTGAGACTGTCAAGAAAACAATTTCGTAAAAACACCGACCGAGCTCCAACAAGAAGTCGTCGAGCCGAAAGCTGGCACGCAAGCGTTGTACATTTTTGATCATGAGGAGCAAATGCGCGAATTTATCGACCGCCTCGGCTGGCAAATGGAAGAGACCCTAAACCTGCTCGGCTACATGCGGGGGCCGCAGCACAAGCGGCAGCGGCACTGGAGGAAAGCCGCCTCCGAGGCTAACAAGCAGCGCCTCCTGGACACGCTGCTGGACGAGGACGGCCGCCTCTCGCTGCTCTCGGCCGGAAGTACTGGGGCAGGATCCTTCCTGCTGCCCTGGCACGCCAGCAACGCCGCGCAGCCAGACCAGCACTTCCTCACGAACCTGAAGATGCGGCTGGACATGCCCGTTTGCCCAGAGGGGGACCGGTGCCAGCTCAAGAGAAAGGACGCTGGGCAACTCTACAACCAGCCGCTCGACCGAAAATGGTGGCACGCGAGGAAGTGCGAAGTGGGGGGAGGGGGTCGTGGAATGACTGGCACAACCGGCTGCGGGACTGGAACTCCAAGCGACACTCAGCGCTCACTGGGTATGCTGCTCATACTGAGCAACACGTGCCAAAGTGAGATCGTCGCCTCCCGAATGGCCGCCTCGAGGAGGCCAAGCTCGACGTGGTCACCGTCGACCACAACACCGGACGCCACATCTTTGTGGACTGGGCCGTGACCTGAGCAAAGTCGAACTATGCCCCGCGCAGGCAGGCCTGGTCCCACAGGAGTGGCTTAGCAGCAGCCCAGGAGGTCGACAGCAAGAGGACGCAATACCCTCCGAGACCGGGGCTCGAGCTGATCCCCATGGTCTTCGAAGCCGGGGGGCGGCCCTCCGAGGAAACGGCGGCCTTCGTGCGCAGCGACGGCGCCGACCTCGAGGAGGACGAGCGGGGGGAGCTCGGCCGCCTGTGGCGGGAGATCTCGGGGACCCTTCACACGGGGAACGCCGAGATGGTGCTGAGCGCCCTTGGGTAGTAATTAGCCCGCCGCGACTGCCAACAGCACGCCCAACGCCAGCCCCACTAACCACTAATCAGCACGCCTGCCAGTACGACCACCCCGACCACCAGCAGACCGACCACCAGTACGACCACTACCAGCACGACCACCACGACCTCCAGCTCCAACAGCAGGCTAGCTACCAACACGACCATCACGATCACAACC